ATCCGACATTGAAGAGACTGGGAGATTCACGACTGACTGAGGAACTTTCCGTAATAGTGCATATAAACAGAAACTTATTCATTAAAACCTATATTTTATTCCACTGTAGGCCTATATCTAAGACCGTTTTATTTATCACAAAATTACAGCTGTGACCAAATAAATAAATAAAAGCACACACCGGCCGTCTGTGACAGGCGATGCAGGCCTCGAAGAGTCGTTTAGACATAGACTAATATCATAAACAGGAGCAATTCATTGCAATAAAATATTTAGTAATAATAATAAGTGTGCAATAAATATGGGAACAACTTCAGAATACGAGTCAAGTCAAATTAACAAATGATTTAGCACTATAGGTCAATCACTGCATTTATTGTCTAATAATGAACATTACATTTGCAAGCAATATAAGCTGAGCACTAACATGTGCCTTTAATTGTTATTTTTAATTCTTCTTAATTCTTATGACAAATCTAGAAAAATTACAAACATGCAGAAGGAAATAGCAAACACCGATGAGGAACATAAATCAATCTACATTTTTAAAAATGCTGTGTTTTATTGACCCAACGCTGGGTTAAATATAAACAAATTGTTTAAAAATTTTATTGAAATTTATCCAACGTTGGATGTGTACATATTTGACAAAACGTTGGTTTAATACAATCTAGCATTTAGTGCAAATTAAGCAATTATTATTTTCCTATGTGTGTGTTGGGTTATGTTAATGCTGGGTTATTTCAACATAAAATTTTAATAATAAGGAAAAACCCAAATGTTGTGGTGCATTTGGCCCTATAAAATGTATTTAAAAAACTCACCCAACTAGCTGTGGCATTTGTCCATAATTTACCCAAACTTGGGTTGAAATAACCCAGCATTTTTAGAGTTTATATTAGATTAAAGTTTGGGATATAATAACAACTACAAATGTTTATTGTTTATGAAATAAGCTTATTATTCGGCAATTTTTCCATTACATTCAAGTTTAAGAAAATACTCCTAATAAGGAACTGTAGGTGATTCATATCTATATGAAATTATATTTAAATCGAGGAAAATTGAAAGGGATCATTCCGACAAGCTGGAGTGTAATTGGACGTGATAATTAGACATGATAATTAGACGTGATGCTGTGACACGCTAACTGCTGGAGGCGTGAGGTTAAACACGCGCGAGCACCTGCTAAGCATTTCCACACGCAACACATCTGCTTCACATCACACACACACACACACACACGCGCGCGCGTCCACGGCGGCTCCTTCACGGCCACTCGGTCAGCCATTATGATTATGGATTCACGACGAACAAACAGCGCGACACAACACAAACATGTGCGGTCAATAACGTCCAGTTAGCAGGTAAACTGACTTCTCGCAGGTGGACGATTCTGCTCCGATTCAATGAAGTGACTGAAATGCCAATTTTCTTCCATTAAACGTGAAACTTGATCTAGAACAACAACTGGCTCATGTCTCTGCGCGGGAAAATGATTGCCCTGATTACGCGCCATTATGTGTGACAGGCGCGCTCTATTAGCGTGTATAAAGAAATTGTCCTTGACGTCCAAAATTTGACCCAAAATATACAGGCATTCACGGGATAGTAAAAAAGCACTTATGTACTGGGAAATTGCGAGGGTTGTTAAAGTTGCAAATCCTGTCAAAATACTGACGAGAGGAGCGACACGCGGGAAACACTGAACATGTCATTACACGACACGCATCAACACTTATAACACGTCGAAAACAGAGAGAAAGCCTTCAGTTCCAGCTTTTCAGGGATTTACATTTTGACGTCAATCGATCATTTCTGAAATTAATTTTCAGGTTTGGTGGTTTTCTTATCTTAAATAAAATAACTGTAATGAAATAATTGTATAAATCTTCAATGAGAATAGATGAAGCCCATGAAGGATGTTCAGTGAACCAGGGAATCGCTGAAGCTTTATTTTGAGTGATTATTTCAATGCCAAAAGCGTTTTGAGTGGCAAAATGAAGCTCCATCTGTGAATGATTTCCAGATCAGCTCGAGCTCGGGCCCGTTTGTGTTTGAGACTAAAGCTTAAGGCCCTGCTCTCTGCTTTTCTATTTTTTCTTGGTCATTACACAGATTTTCCCGGAAAGTTGAACAGTCGGACTCGCTGCATTTATGCTGAAGAATGTAAAGGCTCGTGCTCTTCTCTGGATGCATCTCCCTCAGCACATGCACGCACTCTCAGAGAAATCTCCTCAAAATATAGAGCATACATTAAAAGCCCTTAAACGCACTGGCTCGTGCTAATACAAAACACATACACGCAAGAAGAAAAAGGCGAATGCATGTGACGCATTTTGTGCTGTTTTAGTGGAATCTCTCGATGGGTCTCATTAGAATCATTAACTCTTGTTATTATTTGACATTATTACGAATTATCCCAGTTATTTTCCATCATGTCTGACATTTAAATCCAAGGATGTTCCACCTAAAAACTGATAATAAAGCAAACGGGTTTAATCCTGTTGAATATTCGGTATTTAATGAAGTATTTAATATGAAATTTATATCTGAAATACAATCCAATATAGTTTTATTCAAGCTTTACGAAACTTTCTTTTCAAACAAAGCGCAACATCAGCTCTGTAAACAGTGCTGGATTTACACAATCAACATGAAGGAATTAAGTTGAATTATTAGTTTTTAAAAGTGTAAGTGGATTAAAAATAAAACAATTAAATAAGTAGTTATAATAAACAGCACACGTCATTTTCGAGAGATGGGATAATTTATTAAGTTATTTCATTTAATTTCAGTACACTGTAAAATAAATGTTGGGTTACACAACTCCTCCATGTCACCCAACGAAAACCGTAAGCTAACTCAACGTTTTTTTAATTTATTTGCAATTTTAGGTTGAGTGAGGATAAAACAATTAAGCTGGCAAAAACAAAAGTATTGTGTTGCTTCAGCTCATTTTAAATAAGTAGTCTGAACACGCAGCAAACATATTTAGAGAGTATTTTCCCTATTCCACAAATGTGAGTCAATTTAAAGGATTCAGCATGTCTTTACACATTCACAAATAAAGGTGTAGCGCTACAAAAGCTGTCACTGGGGTAGTAGGTCACCTACATTGTGGTACCTAAAGGTTACCTGTTGGTATAAATTGCCTAAATCTTTTAAATGGCACACTAATGTACATTTAGGCTGCTTTATATGCGCTTTACCTTAAAAAAGGTACTGTCACAGTGACCACAGTTTTAGTAGCTTTAGTGTATGCAGCGCAAATTCTGCCCTGAAAAGAGAATAAATAATAACATATTTAAAAATAACATGTTTGACAGTCCTCTACAGAATCAGCTTTAGCAAGAAAAGCTAAATATGCGGTTAGGATCGTATTAGCCGTCATAAACAGAGAAACACATTACTAAATCATAATCTTAATTACTGTACATTTGTATAGCATTTTATTTTGCTATATTTGACCTAGTTTCTTTTTCATGGTATTTTCAACCCTCATATTAATTTTTTTCTCTTATTTTTGTGTCCCTCAAAATTCTAATTGTGTTTTTTTCTGTTTATTTGTATTTTACAATCACTATACGATTTATTAATTGGTTATACTCTGCAACGCTTTGGTAATAGCCTACTTGACAAGTTATGCCAATAAAGCTCTATGGAGAGAGAGAGAGAGAGAGAGAGAGAGAGAGAGAGAGACAGAGAGAGAGAGAGAGAGCTGAACCCGATCATCTCCACCTGCTCCTAAACGCTTCTCTCTGTAGATCAAACTTAGTTTTACTGAAGGATAATGCAGTCTCAGCTGCTGCTTTTCACTTTCAGCTTTAATGCAAGAAACTCCAGCAAGCGCAGCGTTGGTTTTCATCCTATATTCACTTGCATTAATTGAAATGTTTTCTTCCAGTCGCTTAAAGGGATAAACCGGGGATAAAGTGATCAATAACTGACAATTATGTCATCGTTTACACCATTAAATCGCCACAATCCTGCTTGGGTTTCATTTTGTGGTTGTTGAACACAGATTAAGTCATTTTGAACAATGTTGGAAATGTGCAGCATTGACTTTTAAATGAGTTTTCTGGTAAATGAATGGAGTTTCCTAACATTTATCAGAAAAAGGAAATTCATAACCAATTAAAGGTGAGTAAATAATAAGTTTTAATTGTTTTGGGTGAACTAGCTCTTTAATTGTGAAATAAATCATGATGTTAGGATAGATGGACCAAGCAAAAAAAGTAAACTATGGTATGCCTCTCTCTGACCTCTCTTCATTTACATACAAAGTTTATTGAAATTAAAATTATACATTGATATAGCAACATTAAAAATTAACGATCAATCTCATATTTTAATAATTGAGCGCAGTGTCGCATCTGATCGCGCAGTCGCACACAATAAATATTTAACTTAAATCACAAGCCCAAAACATGTATTAATCTAATAGTTTTAGACGTAAAACTGTGATCATTTTATTGTTTTTTTTTTTGCACTACTTAATTTATAATAAATAATTGTATTGTAATGAATATCACATTAAAAAAAATGATTCAGAGATGTTTCCTGGGATTTACTACATTTATTTAAGTTAAGTGGTTGTAAACAATTAATTTGGGCTGAATTTAAACAAAGTTGAACATTACTACATTTAATTTGTTTGTTTAAATTCAACTCATACTTTTGCGACAATTATAAAAGGAAAATGAACGCGTATTAGTGATGTTAGACACATGCCTTCAGCTTTAAAAACAAAAGGCAGATTTCCGAAAATAACACGAGCACGACTAATACTTCATGTTTCCCTTTAACCCCGAGCCTTTTCCTTGAATAAATGCGCGTTTGTCTGCGCTGTTTCGTGTCGAACTCACACTAATATGATTGAATCTTTAGCTGCTGTAATGACTCCAGTGGGCTCATGTCACGGGTCATTAATTTCATGCTTTTACTTTGAGGATTCAGAGAAATCACACCTGATCAAAACATGAGAAACACGACTGAAATTATTCTTCATACCTTTTAATGCTTCATTTCTTTTTCATTAAACAAAACACGATACACCAATATGAAAACAAGTACATGTCTAGTAAACGGGCGAGCCTTCACGGCTCCTCAAGTCCAGCAAATGTTCAATATTTTCTTCTGATTTTAACATGTGGAACTGTGGAGGGGGAAAGTGCCAGTCTTACCGTTTATACCCTAAAACCGAACGGCAGTAACGGCATCAAGTGCTGCTTTGTTTTCCAACCAGAAGAACGAACATTTCGCTAAAACACGAGCCGGGAATGACACATTTCCACACATTCTGAGATAGAATCCTAATAGAGTTAATCAGGAGCACATCAGCAGTCCTGGAGATAACGAGTCTGTTTCGGTGAAGACAGTTCCACTGAATAACATCTCCCGGTTTTGGTTGCTCACTCGGCGTGTTCGGTAAACGAAAGTCTTTCGCGTAATAAATATGGGTCGGAGAGTCCTGGTGTCACTGGTTTCCAGAGCAGGCGGAGGACAGGCTCCAGGCGGGCAGGCAGTACGTGTACGGGTAATAATAAGAGGGCTGCAGCGACAGAAGCGGCGGTCGCAGCAACTCCCCGGGGCTGTACTGCCGTCGGTCGTCCCGGACCAGCACCTTCACCGCCACTTTCTTCGCCGCCGGGGCTGACGCCAGCAGATCGGCGGCCATCTGACGTCGCTTGGTTTTGTACCGTCGATTCTGGAACCAGATCTTGACCTGCGTCTCGGTGAGTTTGAGGGAGGCCGCGAGGTCTGCGCGCTCCGGTCCGGAGAGATAACGCTGGTGGTTGAAGCGGCGCTCGAGCTCGAACACCTGCGCGTGGGAGAACGCGGCCCGGGAGCGCTTCTTCCGCTGCTTCGGCGCATCGCCGCTCTTCTCCTCGGCCGTGTTACAGTCTGGAGAAGAACCACAAACGCGTTCAGAACATGCGCTTTAAACTAAACTCTGAGTATAAAGTTTCTCCGACAGGCTTTTCAAAAAGGTTCAGTAGAAATGGACAGGGAGCTTTTCTGGAACGCTTCACCTCAGACGCGCTCAACTAGTGAACATCTGGAGCTCAGAGCTTTCCAAACACGAGTAAAACTCTTAAACAGATGAAGCTTTGAGTGGTACTCACCGGACACGCAGTCGCTCAGGCCCTTGGCCGCGGATTCCTGATCCGTCTCGTCCGCTAAATCTGCGTCTTTTTCTGGCTTTGCGTCGATTTGCGCTTTAGCGTCGTTGTCCTCGCTCAGCCCGGAGTCGGAATCGTAGTTCTTATGCTCCGTTTCGTCGCTCCGCTCCGGTGCGTCCATTTCATCGAATATTTTCCAGCACGCGCTCTTTGAGAAACACACATCCAGCTCGTTCAGATGGCGAGACTCCTCTTTTCGGTTCAGAATGGCTTGAATTGAGAATGGCATCAGAGAGTTACTGCGCACAGCCATGTCGAGCAGCACTAGTCAGACCGGGTCGCGGAGCATTAGGGTTAAGATTACGCGGTCCATCGAGCTCCGTGGCCGCAGTTCGGTCGCATCGCGCCGCGCGTAAAGGGAGTTTGGTGGATGAGCATCCACGTCGCCAGAGCGCGAGTGTGAGTGAAAACACAGCTCTACTATACACTTCACCTGTGGCTGAAACTGACCCACAACACCCTCCCATTGGCGGAGCGCACAGCGGCGGCGCGCGCTCATTGGCGGATGGGAAACTTCCACATATTTACAGGAGCATGTCAGAACACCCAGAACGCAGAAACCTTTAACCCTTAAACACCCGCGGAGAGACGAACAGACATCAGTGACCCTTTTAAATGACACTGACAGGCAGATGAGAACAGAACAGATGACCTGAAACCGCATCATCATCATCATCATCGACCTGCGCGCGCATCATCGCACTGACGGGTTCGCGCACGCAGATAGCCAAACTCCTCTTTCAGTAACATCACATTAATACAGAATATTTTTGTGTGCTTTTGTTCTGGTCGTCGGTTCAGGAGGATTTACAGCACTTATCTGTGAGTAGCTCAATTCTTTTTAGAGTAAATTGAGGAGAAGTCGCTCGAAGACTCTTTAATTTGCCAGACACTCCTGTATCTGATTTATCAGCGGAACGCGTCTGTGTGGCATCACAAATTACAATAAACCAGCTGATTAAATGTATGTTCGAATAAAAAGTAATTTCAACTCCCACCTTCGTATTTTGAACATTTTTGTTGCTGTTTTAATTGTTAATTTGTTCCAACATTCATACTTTTGTGGCCATTTGAGGATAAATTTAGAATTGAACTTCTTTATGAATGCAAATACAGCAAAATATGGATTATAGAAAAGGCTACGCGTATAGGGCAACATTACTTCTTAATTAGTCTTTTTACACCAATCATTATTATAATTATGGTAATAACATAATAATAATTAGTCCTAATAATACTAATTAATAGTAGCATATAAATATTATTATAATAAACGGATAGCAACAACGACAACAAAAACGTATTCGGTGTTACCTTCATTAGTCGATGCAGCAGTCTTCGGCTGACTGTCCTCAAATGCACTGCAGAAATAAGAAAGTGTCCCTATAATTTATTTGTTAGTTATTGTTTACGACAAAAGTTATGCTAAACTATTATTGTTCATTCATAACTGAAATTAAAGTAGCCCATTTCACTAAATTGACATTATTATAATTTGCGTTGACCACAAACTTATAATACAAAGCTTGATATTATTATTATTAGGCTAATTGATGTCGGATAGTACTCCGTAGCCTATACTGTCATTGTAGCGCAGAAATTAATGCATTTTGTTGTTCGAGTAAAATCCCCAAAATACATTCCTAAAATAAAAAGCGCACATTATTCTCCGCGTTTTTCTAACATTACGCGATCGTGCAGGTTTTCCCCAGGTAATGAAGGGTATAGGCTAATGTGAATTATTCTGTCATGGTTTACCAAAGCGTCAAAACAGAAAAATAAAATGTATAAAGTATTTAATACATGCAAATGTCTAAATTATGACCGATTTTACCAGCCCAAAACACAATGAAATCATAAATAAAAACGATAAAATACGTAAAATAAGCATTTGACATTTAAGAGACATCAGAGAATATTTAATCTCGAAGGCGTATATTTACACACCACATCAATTTAAGCTTTCAACTGGACAAAAAAATTATATATATAATTTATTTAAAATATATATAAAATAATTATGAAAAATTAATTATAAAAATTATATATATATATATATATTTATATATAACTTTAAGCGTTTTCTTCACCATAAAAATACAAGAAAAAATCTCTTTTTATGGGAATCAAATTTTTTACACGACACATTTATTAACACGATTGTGAGAATCATTAATACACATAAATTATATAGCCGAGGCAATTTAAAGGGATAGTTCACCCAAAAAATGAACATGGTCATAATTTTTTTCACTTTTTACTTGTTTTAAACTTTTATGAGTTTCTTTCTTCTGTTGAACACAAAAGAAGATATTTTGAAGAATGTTGTAAACATGCAATCATTGACTTTCACTGTATTTGTTTTTTCTAATATGGAAGTCAACTACAGGTTTTCAGCACTGATCAAAATATCTTCTTTTGTGTCCAACAGAAGAAAGAAACTCATAAGTGTTTGGGAACACTCGGGGAGAGTAAATAATGAGTATTTCAGGGTGAACAGCCCCTTAAACTCCAGCGCGCGCCTCTCTCTCCATCTAGCGGCATTCAAGCGCGTTCCTCCTGTCTGTCTGAGAATATATCCTGATTTACACGAGTCTGATTGCGCGATTTACATGCGCAATATATACATACATAGTGTTTACGTCTAGCAGATTGTGTGGAATCAGTGGTTTATGCATTAATATAAAAAATATCATCAAAAAATAAAGATAGCAGCTCGGAATAACCCCAAAACACTAACAAGCGTGCGCTTATGGGTGTGTGGAGTCGGAAAGCTTTCGGGAATATCCTCACAGGGGAAAATGATTCATGAATTAAAGTAAAAATGAACGTTTAGCTTCGCCTTGATCTGCGGTCAGTATTAATAACGCGCTTTAACAGCAGCTGACAGACAGAGGACATTAATGGAGGGATGGCGTGACTCGGAGGACAGCACATCTCATGCCATATTCGCGCCAGTATGAAAGCCCTTCTTTCTTTTCTGCAGCCAAATGAAACTGGTGTGCGGGAATTTAAAGCCCATCCAGTCCAGATGCGCAGGACTGGCCCCTCACTGACTCTGACAGACAGGGGCCCGAGAAGGGGATACAGCTGCGGCCGGATGTTAACGATGATTATTTATATTATTACAACAATAAAATTACTGTACGAAAATAATTAGTGTTCACATTACTGAAAGGGGTAGACCTTAATGAAATGTAATATTAAGTAATTTTTTACTTTTTTTTACATGCGAGGGGTTAGACGTCATAAAATAGCCCACAATTATTTGGATAATTTTATGATGGTCTTATTAAATAATTAATAGAAAATTGTTTATTAAAATTTACAATCATTAATTATTTAATAAGACCAGCATAAAATTATCATAATAATTGTAAAGGCGGCCTTGTGTAATTTTCGGGGCCCTACGCACCTTGCGTAGTGCGCGTCTAGTGTGAAATTGTTATTATTATCGTCTTTTATGTGTGTGTGTGTGTGTGTGTGTGTGTAATGGTAAGTGTTGTCTATTTAATGCTATTTGTTTTCCTATGTGCTCTAGGCTAAGGCAACCGTTTAAGGAAGGCGTCATATTAGTTAATTATATTCATAAACCTATTATTAATATATTTGGATACCAATTGCATGCACACATTGATTTATTATTGCAGGGTTTGCTGTGTTCAATCAAAGTATACAATCAGAGTCAATCAACACATCAACCTGTTAACCATAAAGCTGGATTACTGTCATGTCTGTGTTCTGCATGTTTTATCTGCTTCAGTCACTGTTTCTATCACTCACTTGTTACTCATCGATGAAAACACTAATTAAAT